AGGGTCTTGTGGTCTTGACGGAAAGGTTGCTGAATTCCTCGACTAATCAATCAAACAACTTTGTTTTTTCCGTCAACCTTTTTTTGATGAAATGAACCGAGTTTTCGATTACTTTTTTACTTTTTCCATCTACAGTATGAGTTTGACGGATGGCATCGCGGGTCCGAAGCAAGAATAACAATAATCAGGGAAAGTTTGATAGTTTTTAGGGTTAGAGAAGCATAATATTGCCTGAAGGTATTTTTAAAACAAAATTCAAAATTTAGGATTAAAGAAACCAATTTTAGACTGAAACGCAGTACAATATGAATATTGTATATATGTAGTACTATAACAAAAAACTGATATCAAAGTATTTGGTTGCCCAAACAATTCTGAGCTTTTTTAAAGCAAATTTTGGGGTTAAGGGGCTCAGAATTATTTGAACAAACCAATAAAAATTAAAATATAAAACAACTGCCAGAAGAAATAAATTATATTTTAGGCTACTTTACTACAAAATTTAAATTTAAAAACAAAAAATATAATTTCAAAATTTCAAAATGACGTTTTTAGACCTTGACATAAAAGTACAACCACGTTTTTTCAAAAACATATTAAAAACAACAAAATTAGTCATAAAAACACTAACCAAACCTAAAAAATTATCAGAACCTAAAACATTCTTAGAACTTAAAACTTTTAATAACCACCCGAACCAATCATTATCATAACAAACTACAACATAAATTTGCATAATGACATTTATTTAATTGGTGTGACATTTCCATTTAGCGCAATATCCGTATTTTATCGCGCGTGCCGCTGTCAGGGTCAGAGGAAGTGGAATAGGAAAGTGAGATGGGTGATTAGCGATAAGACTCCGGCCCCTGACAGGTTACCTTTTGTTCGCCGCACTAATTGATCTACTGCCTAATTGGAGCCGGCAAACCGAATCGTTCTGTTTGTTTTGGTATTGTGCTTGATAAAAGCTTGATATTGAGATTAAATTGAGGGTTTTGGGTTTGAGGTCTTAAGTTATAAAGAAGTGCTAGATCTTTTAGGTAAAAAAGTTCAAAAATTGTAATGGTTTCAAGTTTTACTCTGTAAATTTTAAAGTTTAAATTATGAAAAATAGAGTAAACTAAACCTTATTTAGTTAATAGGTTGTTCAAAAATTCTGTGCTCCTTAACTCTAAAAAATTGCTTTGAAATAGGACACAAAAGTATTTGAATAACATAGTAAAATTTGATTTTACTAACCTTTAAAACGACAAGACTACAATTCGCTTAACTCCATCCGTCGTATTTTACCTCATTTTGTAAAAAGCTCAAACAAAAAGTTTGCCGAAGAAAAATAAATAACATAAAGAAAGCATAAAAAATCATAAATAATATAGAGATAACAAGAACTGGCCAAACATGGTCGTTAATCAAGCTTCGAACCAGTTGTTGACCTTTTACAAACTTGTTTAGTGATAGACAAAAGAAATAAAAAGTCGACCGTAAACGGAGACTCATTGTTGTCGCATCTGATTCTACCCTCACCCTGATTAAAGATTACTGAACTGGAGAGCTGGGTTTTGAGAATTTAAAATTTGAATTTAAAATAGCATTAAAATTTTAAAAAAATTAAAAAATCAAACAAAAAATTTTAATTTAAATAAGGTTAAACTTGGCTCAAAGCCAGTCGTATCAGGCTGTATAAAAAAGATTGAGCTACAGAATTCCATAATATGTCAATATTTTAGACTTTTACCACCAAAACCAAAGTTTTCCCCCAAAACAACCACTTTTACCTAAACACCCCTTAAAGTGTCATTAGTTAACCAACCACACGGTTCTCACTTAATAAATCGCCATTTCTTTTCGAATAATCCAAAAAACAGCTTTTAAAGCCCGCGCGGACGAATTTGAATGAAATGGATGGTCAAAAGTTGGAAATGATGAAGATAAAGTGGTGCGAAACTTTGAATAAAGATTAAAATTAATCGACCACCCGATTCGATTTCAAATTCGAATATTTTGATTTTAAAAGTTTAGAATAATGATGGGCTGGGCTTAGAAATCATATACATTACTTATATTATAGTAGTTTCTGTAGTTGTAAGGGTAATATTTTGCCAGGGGTGAATTGATCACATGCAGAAATTGTTCATCCTACTGTATAGGTTACTCCTGATGCAACTTAAAAAATACACTTATTTCGGCCCTACTCATGCCTACTTCTGCTTATTTTAGCCCTGCCCAGCCTACCTCTGCTTATTCTAGACATACCCAAGACCACCCTGGCCATTTTAGTCACACCTAAGCCTACTCCTGCTTATTTTATCCCTATATAAGCCTACCTCTGTTCATTTTTGCCATGCCCAGGTCTATCATTACCTATTCTAGCCCTACCTAAAGCTATCTCTGCTCATTTTATCCCTATCTAGGCTTGCACTATTCTGTACATCTACTCCTACCCAAAATGAACTTTTAAAAAGTAATATTATAGTAAAAACTTTGTTTTATTACTTCAACTTTTCTAATTTCAGTTTTTGTAGTATTAAATAGCTCTTTGCTCCAGCTGAATACCAAAGAAACATATACCGCTAATACCTGAGCGCTTACATTACATAACGAGTTAACAAGATTGGCGGAGGTCAAGTGCTTTTTGAGTCGCCGGCTGATTAAGACATTGAGATTAATCTCGAAAGGTGTTAATTCTCGAGACTTTTGCCATTTGATCTGATCGAATTCCGAGGCAACTGGCGCTATGAACTTTTTGACCATCGCCGACAAATTATATACAGGTCAACTGTGGCTACTTGTGGTAAAAAATGAAGCTGCATCTTCTGTCTCCTCTAATTTTGAAAATTTGTTTAGAGGGAGGGGGGCACAGAATCATTTGAACATTCTAATATAATATAATATTTGAAAATGTATGGTGTATATCATGGAAAAAAAGATAGAAGCTTTTTTTTAAATCAGAAAAGAGTAAACGTATTTTACTACCGTAAATGAAATAAAACAAAAGTGATAAGACTAGAATTTGAATATGCATCAGTTTCGCGCAATTTGAACCAAATCAAATTAATTCACTAGAGAGTGTCGCTACAAATGTCAATAAAATTTGCATTTTAGGGCCGTTAATTTGAAAATAATCTGGAATCCTCATCAAAATTAGTTTTGATAATTTTTGTAACCAACAAAAAATTCTGTTTAATTTTAAAAATTACAAAAATTTTTTAAATTTAATGTAAATACAAAATAATGAAACACGCGTATTTTACATCTTTTACTATAATACAAAAAAATCTTAAAACAAATTAAATTTTCCAAACATAACATCAAAGATACAGTAATTTCAACTACGCCCATATTGCTGAACTTACCACTAGTATAATAGTATCAATGAGAGTTAATTTCCGAAACCCATTACGCAACACTTAGCCAAGACACAACAATAGGACTTGAAATGGCCGATCACATTAAGAAAATGTCCGAAAACTTTTGAAACCCTTTGAGCTTTGCCGTGGCGTCATTATTTACCCGCAAAATCAATTGGTATGGGTATTCTGCTCAAGATCTGCTCAAACTCAAAAAATAAATAAAATAAAGTTATAGTACCTTAAATAAGCGTGATATGTTCAGTATGCTAATCACAGTAAACCATATATACAATGCATTTTACAATTTACTATTTACTATTAAAAATTAAAAAAAAATTTAAATAAAGAATGAGATAATTTTAAAAAACAAAGCTAAAAACAATAAATACCTTGTGTCGAGGATAGTAAAACACGTTACTTTGACAAACTACTGATTAGAACAAACAAAGGGTCACTGAGCTACGTAAAGTCCTGCTCATATTGCGTTTAAAGTCAAGTGGACAAGACCTAAACTGTTTACAGAGTAATTCATAACTGCTCAGAATAATGGTATTTACATGTTTTTAGGAATAGTATGACATAAAATACCGTATAAGACGGAATAACATTACCTTATAAGATGGCCTAACGTTACCTTACAAGATGGCATAACGTAAAGCCTATTAAAATGTAATGTAAAAAAGTGCGAAACATGCGATTTGCAAAAGATTTTATATAAAGAAAATTAGAAAAGTTAATCTTTTAATGTTCTAAAAGCTTTTCTATATCTAAAACTTTAACAAAATTTTAAAAAAAATTTTTTAAAACAACACTGTACCTCAAAAGTACCATCAAAACAGCTACCCTAAACAAGTACAGTACTGCCAGTCCAAGTGTCTGCTGCAGAGCGACAAACAAAATTTTGCAAATTCGAAAAAAACAATTTGTAAAATTAAATTTTTGTAAGCGAGGCCAAGAAGTCAAAAAAGATTGTCTTTAATAAACAAATTGGTATGTATAAAAAGTAGATTACATTGCGAGGATTATGAAGCCGCTTAAGCTCTAATAGCCAGACAAACCTCATGAAACGGACTAAACTTTGGCCTAGCCCAGTGTCTTTATACTGCATTTTAGGGGTTATTTGGCACAAAAAATTTAATTTGTTTAATTATTTGTTAAAAATAATGACATGGTTTTAAAAAAAATTACGATAGTTGCAAAACTTCTTTAAAGTACGTTATTGTAAAAACTAAAACTAGATTTACTTATGTTTCATACAATACACTAATAGAAATGAGTAAAAAGTTTGGCCTCTTTTTAGCTAAATTGAGAGTCAGCCGAACCTAAAAAGTAGGTCCAGGCCTTGGTTTGGTACCTGCCATTATGCCCAAATGTGCCGACTCGGCTCTTTTTTGCTTTGGCTTGTGCTAGCCCGGCGCGATTTCATGCCAGGCCTTGTCGGCTTTCTTTCAGATCTAGTCCTAGCCCAATTCTCACTCCTTGACACAAAATGCCAAGCTAATATTTATTATAGATTATCAAGTTTTATCCTATCGCTCTCTCTTCTAAAACCAACCTAAACTTAAATTTTTTTAATTCAAAAAGTCTTTTTACAAAATTAAGAGTTTATTATGTCATTGCAATTATTCAGTCTTCAAAGGCCTCGACTTAACTAAAAACAGTAGTAATGTTAGTGGTGTAGGTGATAGAAATGATCTTTTGAGTCGCGTTGCTCTTGACAAACTGAGTGGTAGTATTGCACAAGTTGGCGATGTTACTCTTGACATCATCTGAAGTCTTTTCCCACAAAGAGCTAACGTTCTTGGCCCAGTCTAGTCCAATTGCTCCTAACTAAAACAACATTAATTTACTGAGAATGTAGTACGTATAATAGTACAAGAAATTATTCCAAACTACAGTAACCAAACTAGGAAGCACTTTAAAAAAATAAAAAACCTTACATCCTTGAAGGCCTGAACGGTCTGATCGTTCGTTCGACTAGTTCTCCATGTGATTTTCTCTTGGAAAAAGCTAATCAGAACCTGCCAAATGCTGAGGAAGGTTGGGCTACGCTTCTCGAAGATTCCCTTAATGTCTCCGAAGCCACTGATCTTTGGAATCTCTTCTTGGTAGATGGAAGTCAACTCGAAGAAGTCATTGAACTCAAGGTCTTCTACCTTCTCAAGCTTGTTGTCCGACAAGAACTTGTGGCAGGTATCTAAAGATATTGTGTTAAAGGTAATGTAACTATGTTATGTCAAAATTTTAAACTTTTTATTGTAATGTAACTTAATTTTTATAGTGAAACTTTAAATTTTTGTTTTAAAATTCAAAATTATGTTTTTAGGTAACATTTTGTCAACTTTTTATTAGCTTACCTTGGTTCTTTTCATCGACAACATACTTGAAGCACTTTTCGTTCTTGATCTTTTCAGTGTCAACATTGAAAGTGTAGTTGGCGTTGAACAAGTAGCTGAATTCACTCGATTCAGCACTAGAAGTACTACTGGAAGAGCTAGATTGAGAACCAGAGCTACTACTAGACGAGCTAGACTCAGTACCAGAGTTGCTACTAGAAGAGCTAAGTACAGTTTTAGAAACACCGCTAGAAGAGATGGATTCAGTACCAGAACTACCACTGCTAGAGTTCTTGACCACACTGACACTCTTGGTAACTCCTTCCTTAACATCTTGTTCTTTAACCACAGTACCAATCTTTGTTTCCACTTTCTTCACTTCAGTAGAGCTTGAAGAGAAGCCCAATTCAGACAAGATCTGAGTGCTCTTCAGAATCTGGTTCAGCTTTTCCTGATCCAACCCCAACACCAAGTAAGCTCCATTGAAGATTCCGTGAGCTTTAGAAGCCTCTACAACCAGCAGAATGCTTACGGTAATCAGCCAGCCTCCCAACATTGTAGGTATAGATATCTAGGTATCTGAAGACCTTGAATATAATTTTGTTATGAACTTGAGCTTGTTTTATACTGCTTTGTTGGTTTAGGTTTGTTTAGAATGATGCCTTTTCAAAACGTAATGACATAAAAACTAACACTAAAGAACGGGTCAGCTAGGTACACTTGACTCGGACACACAGCTACACAAACATCGTATGTTCAACATTCGACAACCTTCTACAAAATGCAGTTGACAGTTGTATAAATATTGTCATTTGAAGGCCCGGAACAGGTTTTGACTTCCTTTAGCTTATAGACAAACTTTTTGCGTAAAAATGTCATTTATGTTACAGTAATCAAACTTTTCGTACATTATTTTGTAGTATTTTATAAAATATTCTAAGCCTTTAAAAGTTTTTAGTTTAAACTTATTTTATTCAAGCCAATAGTACATCCCCGTCTAAAACAATATAATAAGATTAGCTCTCTTGCATGATATTCTTAACCTTCAATGGCTTCGCACAAAACTCTTTGCCATTTTTGTGTGAAGCCAAGTGTGCCTTGACATAGTTTTCGACCATTTGTCTTAATTTACTGCCTTCTTCATGCTCCAAGCTCTTGAGGTTATTGAGATAGTCGTTTTCAGTCTCATCTTCCCACTTTTCCGACGAAATATTTGGAAAATCTGGGGAAGAATCGACAGATTGGGTACTGACCAAAGTCATGAGCACAATACAGATTGTGACTAACAAGGTGGTGTTCATTGTGACTAAAAAAGGGAGTTTTTTGGTTAAGAAACAGTCAGAAATGGCTTGAAAACCAATGTAAAGTTAGAATAATTGCGCGCAAAAAGTTTTTTTGTTAAAAATTAAATAACAGCAAAATAAGAGTACCAACATTATCATAAATAAAAAAAAAATTTAAAAGTTATTATCAATATGTGTTAATATGGCAAAATATTAGTCTGTTTTCGTAAAACAAAATTGAGTTTTAAACCTTTTTTAAAACCAACAGCTGCCTTTTTGCTATAACCGATCTTTTCTGAATACTTTATTAAATTTTTAGTTTTTTCGTAAAATCTTACTACCGATAGTGCAAAAAACTCGATGAATAGCCTTCAGTCTTCCTTAGCTTATTAAACAAGTATAATATAACAGCATTAAAATTTCAAAAAATAAGAATACAGTAAAAATCCTGTAAAACAAACTCCTAGTAACGAAATTTCCGTATAACGAGCAAATTTTTAACTCTCGAGTGATTCGTTATACAGGAGATACTGTATAGAAAAAACCATTTACTAATACAGTGTAACTCCTGTATACCGAAAAAAGTTTAAATCTTCAAGCTATTCGTTATACAAGAGCTCTACTGTAAAGAAAGTCGGTAAAAAACATCCTTATAAAGTTTTTGGAAAGTTTTAAAAAAAATTTAAAGCCACCATACCTCACCACCGCTTCACCCAGTGTTACATGTCCTACTGAAATAAAACAGCAAGAACACTTTACGCCCAAAATAAATTCAGAACTTTCACCAGACCTTGTTAAATTTTCGAAAATTTAACAAATTCACTGAGAATTTAAACATCAAATCACACAATTAATGGGACTCCACTTAAAATATTACGAGACAAGTTCTCGAGACCTCCTTTTCGTATTCTGGTTTTGTTTTTTGTTTCCGTCGCAGCAAACTATGTCGTTTTATCAATTTACTACAAAGTGAAAATACAACGCGATTTTGGTAGATTTTCAATAATTTACCGAGCTTTGTTATGTTATGAGGGATGAACAGGGGTTTTACTTGGGAGTTACGATCTATTGTCTTGAATAATATTGAGGTAGGGGTCGATCCTTTACGCCAAATCATCAAAATAGAAGGATATTAACATGAAAAAGCTCGTTTGAGCTCTATTTTTAGCTTTTTAAAAGTTTAACAAAACAGTTTACAATTTGACCCACAAGAAATGTTTTAGACAATAAAATAAAGCCAAGTTTATAGTCAAAAGTCAGTGAATCAATGTCTCAACAACATTTATCCGGTAAAACAAGTCGATAATGTTCATCTTGAGTTCTTCTTGATCAGTTTCCCACGAGTCGGTCGTTTCTTTGTCCCCATCGGCAATCTAGCTGTTTCGGTTGATCTTGTACTGTCAGATGTTGATAACATACTACCCGAGACAGCTGTAGAAACACTTGGTGCATCCGAAGTCGTAGATGAACTTGTAGCAAAAGAAGAACTTGGAACAGATGATGTCAAACTTGTATCCGAAGCTCTCGACGTCAAGGCTCTAGATGTCGAAGCTTTAGACGTAAAATCATTTTGAGAACAGACGATACTGTCCTTGGCATTTCTAATTCGTCTCTTTTTGGTCGGATCTCTAATGTCCATGATTTGACACTTCAAAGCAATCTGTTCAGCTACATAATTAGCGCACTGTGGCCCCGAATCTTGTCGATTTACTTGCCATCTGAAGAGTTTTGGGTCCATTTGCTCGCGATCGTGATGAAGGGAGATCTGAGGATGATTTGGAGGTCGTGGAGGGTTAGAACCGGCCTAAAATAATTTAAACGTTATTTAATAAACATAATTGTATTAAAAACATGTATGGACCTATAAAAACACTTTAAAGTTACAAATTATCGAACCAAACCTACCCTAACATAATGCACATTCTTGTCCTTCTTACTCTTTGAAATCCATCCACCGTAATAATGCATCGTCTTCATAGCGCCGTATCTTCTCCATGGATTCGCGACTTGTCGATACCCAACTTTGTCAAAATCTACCGGCCGATCCCGTTTGCGAGTAACGTGAACAATTCTTTCTTCTGCAAAACGTATCTTGGCGTCGTGGTTAATATAAACAATCGCATCTTCATTCACTGTGAGCACATGATCTTCTGCCAAGTCATCTTCTGAATTCGGATGAGAAAGATTTGAAGAAGTTGTAGCGTGAGAGGAGGAACGATGGCCAGAGTTTAAGTCTGAGACACTCAAGTTCGAAAATACCTAAAATTTGATGAGATTTATATAAAAGGAAGCCTAAAACATATTTTACCACTAAAAATAAATGTTACCTAAAATATTTTTCCCTCATTTTTATGTTTACAGCATTAAACCTTGTTCATCTTGTCTTCATTATCCTAAAACATTTCAAACATAGTTTACCGACTGAAGATCATCACAATCACTCAACACACTGTCCGAAGATACGTTGAGAAGCCCAGTTGTTATATCCGATTGTCCAACATCGTCCATCGTTTTTTCCGACGACATTTCAATCGACCGATAATAAAGTTTGACGAGAACAAGAATTACCTTTTTCCAAAGTAAAAAAAAAGCAAAATAAGTTTTAAAATTTGATTCTTCATTTTGAATATCGTCGTATTGGAACTTCAAAAGAGTTTTTCAACAAAAATAAAAATGAAAAATTGTGCCAAGCGTAGCTCTTGTCCTAAAAACGTGCCAAGTCGTCTCTCCTCAAGTTCTTCAGATTTAAAGGCTTTTTTTGCCATTTTTGATTGTTTGTTGTTGTTACTATAGACGGATAATGTTTTCCTCAACCTCAATCTGTTGATACATCACTTTTTTGGTAAGTTATCTCTTTTAGAATGATTTTTAACAACATTTTGAAATTTTACTTTAACTTTTTGTTATTTCCCCTAAAGTTCAAAGTCAAAACTTGTTGGCATATAACAAGAAAAGTTGATGTTGTAGGTGTATATTAGGCATGTTGTTGTAAGTGTATGTTATTATGTCTAGTTCATTAATCATCTCTACTTACTAAGCTTTCTATGGTCGTCTTTAAGTCATTTTAATGAGTTCGTATACAACCCTTTACACAGAATCACAACATTTTGTATTTCATTGTAAACTTTGTGTATTTTAAGAAAACAAAAACAAAAAACACTGTGATTGACGTCTTACTGTACTTTTACTATTGAATAGTAGTCTACTATCATATCTTAACAAATTTTTTTACGTTTTTGTGTTTTATATGTATCATGGTTATGTTAATGATTGTTATTATCTATGAAAAGGTAAAAAAGCATATATGATTAATGTGTCATAAAATAAAATATGATACTTATGTGTAGAACACTGTAAACACAACAAGGTATCATTAAGAGCATATTCAAGGGTTCATACGTACATTATATAAACATATCGGAAGCAGACGTTTAATGTAGAATGTAAGTGACATAACATATTCAGTGTTTAACAAGCGTTAAATTAAAACATTTGAAGGTTAGGGTAAAGTGTAGGTGTAATACTGAGAATTTTTAACATGTATATGGCCGGAAACGTTTGTAACATATAATATTATGTATAATTTTATATATTGTAATGTACAAAATCAAGTATAACAATAACATAGCATATCATGCTATAATTGCTACTAATTTGAATATAATCTACCAACACATGACTTTTACTGTAACAACCCGACAGTTTATATTCAAAAATAATTAATCTACATACGTTGTAACACAATTTCTTTTTTATATTGTGACGTTGTAACGTTCATTTTGGACGTGACGTTCTATTCCGTTATTACGATACAAAAAGTGGGGCTTTTTCGTGTAGGAACATACCTAATTTTACATTCAATTGGCTTTGTTTGCACGTTTTTACTCGTTTGTGATGACCTACATTACTATATGTTTATGCAGTCAAAAACGTGCTTGATGTAAAATACGGTAGTCCACAGAGGTGATAGTTATATAGTGATATAGATGACGTTATTATAACATTTTTTGTTTTAAAAATGATTTTTTACCGTGAGTATAGCTTTTTGTGAAAAATACTGTAGTTTATGTACTGTAAACTTCAAAAATTTTAATTTTTAAATAAATTTTTATTTTTTTTTATTTTTAATGACTCAATAGCATAAGTATCAATCAGTAATTACACGGTAATATTGTGTTTGTTGACTGTTATTGACAGTTTGTAAGCTTGTTTACTCATTATTAGAAGCCTCATTGGGTGTTGCATTTCAAATTACTCTATGATTTGCTTAATTACTCTAAATTTACATTGCTGTAATTGCTTGTAGCTTGTTACTCTGTAAATTTGTGATAAGTTCGGTAGTGTTATACAGTATGTTGTGCTGTATTTTATAGTTTTAACTAGTTTATAAGAGTATTTTGTTAATTTTTTTGCTTACTGTAACATTTTGGTTACAACTGATCGAAAATAAACTTACAGTAATCCAAATACGAATATTTTGGTTAGAAATCGTACAGTTTGTAAATACGATGATTACATCTATCCATAAAAAATGTAACTACGTAATACCAGCGGCAGTTTAACGTCGCAAGGACATGCAAGACTGTAATTAACCCCATTTATGTGTCGCTAGATACGATTATGATCATTGGCATAAAATTTAAGTAATCTTTAATGACAATTTCTATACAATTGCATTTGCTATGTACACATGGTATGTCTACGGAAGTAAATTTTAAATTACTTGACTGTAGCTCTGCTTTTTCAAATTCAAACATCGGTTTGAAATGGGTTTTAATCTCACATGTTTTAGTTTACTGTGGTTAAGCTACAGTTGATTTTAGAAAAGTACAGTAATTTTAATTAGGACAAAGAACCTAGGAATAGCTAAAATGGCACTAAAGTCAATAAACTAATTTTAAATTAAAATTTTAAAACTCTACAAACTTTTTGACCCCTACTTTATAGTATGCGCATGATAAAGAATGTTATGGTCGTATGTTTACAAAAAACGGTAAATTTACTACAGTAAATAGCTGAATATGTATATTACTCATGGCAACTCCAGTTCGCATTATTAAATTTTAATCGAAATTAGCAAAGATACCATGCCGTTGAGAGCAGAGAGGCGTGTGAACATTTTATTAATATACCACAAGATACGTTTGTTTACTCTGTAAGTGTTTTGGCATATTTGATTGTAAATATTTTGCAATTTTTTAAGTTTTCAACCAAGCCACTGATAGTTACATATATAAAGCTCTCTGATAGCTATCTAAAGTCAATCCACTGATAGCTATATAAAGCCGGACGTAGTGAACCACCGTATTTAGAAGTCACCCCTTCCTATATATAAGATACGAACCAGCCCTATGCCATTAAAGTAGAGATATGTGTGGAGAAAGTAATTTCATTTAAATATGAGTTTCGGCCTTAAAAAATGTGAAAAATTAGATTTTCGGCCGGAGCTGGCACCTCATGGATAATATATAGGTACGCGTCGGAATTCAAATTTGATTTATTAGGTTTGTTTTGGTATTTAAATAGGGGGCTTTTACTGTGCAGCAGAATTTAATTCTAGGTTAGTTGGGTGGTTTATGGGGGTTGGAGGGAAATGGTCAGAGGTGAGGTCGTATTTTAGATTGAAAAGGTTTGACAATGAGTTTCGAAGGGCACAAGATACTGTTTTTTGATGTAAATGTATAAGTAAATATTTGACCTTATACACGTGATTTGGTAATAAAAAGGTGTAGATATAGACAATATGGTCATTAACGTAAAAATGAAGTTATTAAAGCACTTTCTCAGTTTTAAATCAGCATTTTAATATCTCAGTACATCTTTAATTGACTTTTTTTAATGTTGTAGTATATGTTAACAAGAATTACAGTAATGACAAACTTAGCCTATAAAGTATTACAGTAACCTTATCTTAACCAAATTTATCGTTCCCAAAGCTTTTATAAATTAAAAAACGATATTTCTTTCCTTATGATGTGTTATCTACCATGATGTTATAATATCTTGACGCAAGCACACGCCGTTCTGTTTCGAACGTTCCGTGCCGCAAATAGAACGCATCCTTAAAAAGTACTTGGAAACACAGTTTTTAACAATTTATTTAAATTAATATGCATTAAAAGTTGGTTACGTGGAATGACATTATACAGGTGGTATTACATTGTAGTATATGTAGTGTTATTCTATAGTAAAAGTGATATTACTTTATAGTATATGCAGTAAAATTCTGTAGTAAAGGTGAAATTGCGCAGTAGCTAAAGTGTTATTCCTTTGTAATACTAATGACAGCATTTTGTAGTATAAGCTGATGTATTTGTAAAATACGTGAGTCAAGTGTTATTGTTGACTTTTAAATAAGCGGTAATGACTTACTTAAACGTTTGTTTGAAGTTTATTAGCTTGGTATCTATCTAATATCTTTTTCAATGCAATATGTACACATAGACTGAATCGTGGGGAGTGAAAGACTTGGTAAAGACCGTCAGAGAAACCTATTGTAGCTGTTTCCAGTTAGGCCCCTTCCAGGTGATCTTGTTTCTCAAACTAAGTAAACGTGATGAGGCGCTCCTCAAGACTTCAGGTCGTAGTCTAAAGCCATGTATAAGCCAACGAATTGGTTAACATGTTAACAGTTTGGTTGATTGTGGTTTGGACTGTACGTTCTGTAGCACAATTAAAGTTAATGTACTGAGAATTTCTGGAACACGTACAAATTAAGTATAGTAAAAGGGCAGCATGAAATTATTTTAATTTGTAGAATATTACTTTACAATATTAGTACGTTATTAATTTTTAAAATTGGCTGCACTTTTTGTTCAATATCTTGCTGTAGAGGTATGGAGCATGGATAAAATGCAGGTGATTAAAGAAAAATTAAAATTTTAATAATTACAATTACCCATGTATAATGTAATTGCTAAGAATATAATGCAAAGTTCTGTGTTTTACATTAGCTATAGCATTTTGCGTTAGCACTTTGAAAATTTTAGTTTTTTAAATTTTAATTTTTTTGCAAAAATTAATCTTCAAAACGTGTCCCCAGGTTTCAACTTGTTTGTTACGCCTACAGATATGTTGAAGATGTTCCGTGTTTCAGAGTCATTTGGCGCACTCTTGAGCCCTTAGGGGATTTTCGTGAAGACGTTTCTGAAATTGACTCTTCATATATTTTAAATGTAAAATGCTAATGTCGTGTTTATACTGTGACCAGTCGTTCACATGGTTTCACTTAGCGTCAGGTTCCTTATGGTATTGTTTGAGTATAAAAAATTTTTGGGGTTGGAGACTACTCTGTGGGTACTACTGTAAAGGTATATATACTACAGTGCATGCCATACTGATAGTAATTGTTCTTACCACTCTTTTAAAAGTTCCCACTAATTTTTGACCGTTATTAAATATTATTTTACTTTTATCACGTTTTATTATGAAAAGACTAGTAAACTGACCCTGACAGTGTTATATGTTTGTAAGATTATTAACGTTTTAGCTCAAATTACTGTAGGCATCAAATATCAGAGTACGTT